AGGCAGTGTTCCTTTTACGTTTCGTTTTTATTTTATTTGTTTATTTTATTTACAGTAATTTATATTTAAATTTATAATTTTAAATGTTATATATGGTTAGTTTTTAAACGTAATAATTTTGTTAAAATATGAATTTGTTAAAATATGAATTTGTTATAGGTGGAGAAGAAGCTTAACGGAAGAGAGAAAGGTAAACGAAAATGGAAGAGAGGAAGAGGTGCAGAGGGAAGTAAATCAGAAGTTTTAAATAAATTAAAATATTAAAATAATAAAAATAAAAAATTTTAACTTTTGAGGATATAATTGTTATTTTAGAAGGATATAATTGGCATTTTAGAAAATTGGGGAGGTGGAGGAAGAGACGTGTGGGGGTGGAGGGAGTAACACCCCCAAGTTACATAGGCTCATTTTTTTTCTATTGAATGGGTTTATCGATTTCTTCCTAAATGGATGTTTATTGTTACTTTTTGTACCTCCAATATTATTAACTGAACCCATAATAACAAGAAAGGAAGACTGTTATAGAAAAAGAAAACAGAAAATGTGAAAAAAAAAAACTCAATTGGAGATGTTCTTTCCGTAAAATATTTCATATATGTTGGAAAGCTTTTTTTAAAATGTATTTCATTTGATTCAGAAAACCCTTTCCGAAATACATTTCATATAAAGATAATTTAGAAAACTTATTTTAAAAGACATAATGTGTTCCAAAAACTTATTTCCGAATGTGTTTTATACATTTCAGAAATTTTGATTTAAAAATCTCATGATTAAAAAATCTTACTCTGAAATTTAAAAACTTATTCTGAAAATTTCCTACAACAGAGATAATTCGAAAGTTAGTTTTATAAAAGATAAAATAATCATTTTAAAAATTCAAGCGGATACGCCAATAAATTATAAAGGTGCAAGAAGTAAACTCTATGGATGTTTAGTAAGGTTTAATTAGTCTTTATAGGCTTCTGATTCATTTTTTCGTATTATTTGTTTTTAGTTGAATTTAAGTCTTTAAAGGCATCATCAGAGTCACGTATGACACCATAGCTAGATAGCAGTGGTTGCATGCATCCTCCAAACGTGGCAGTCTCTCAAGAACATGGTGGCTTATCTGTCAGTCTCTCACAAAACCACCAAATTCACAATGTTACGCTGATGCATGGAGCAGGACCACGCCATGCACCACCACCATGTATATTTTGTCTGTCATGTCCCATGCCTTGCACCAGAACCCAATGGGATATAGATAACTCAATTATTCTCTCACAATCAACAACTCCATAAAACCTCATCCTGCATAAAATACGCGGCAGCACATCATTTTCCTCTTACGTGTCCAAACCAAACACATGCAAAACCTCACTATATATACATATCTCATATTCTACACGCTTTCATCCCACTCGTGCTTACTATTCTACGACCAAGTTGAACAAACGTTAGAGAAAAACTATTAAGGTTAATTACTTCGATGATGGCTGTGACTCTCACGATCCTGGTCACCTTGCTCTCGGTTCTTTCTTCTGCATCGTGTGCTCGATTGGTTGGGGGGAAGACGGAGATCCCTGACGTGAGGACAAACAGGGAAGTGCAAGAGCTCGGGAGGTTCTCGGTGGAGGAGTACAACCACGGTTTGAAGCTGTCGTCGGTGAACGACAGCGATAACGAGAGAGAGAAGTTGACCTTTACAGAAGTGGTGGAGGCGCAGCAACAAGTGGTGTCAGGGTTGAAGTACTATTTGAAGATCTCTGCTACTCATAGAGGGATTCACAAAATGTTCTCCTCAGTGGTGGTGGTAAAGCCATGGCTTTCTTCCAAGAAGCTCCTCCACTTTGCACCTGCATCCACCACCAACACTAACCAGTGAAGAATATAAGAGAGAGAGAGAGAAAGAGAGAGAATCCTTGTAGAATAATAACCATGGAGGTTAATTTCTTGACTAGATATGCATGGTAATAATTTTTTCCTACATGTACTTTTTGTATGGTGTGTGTGGGGAGAACGGGAATTTTCGACTAAAATTTGAAATCTATATATATATATATACATGAATATTAATCATGTGTACCAGAGAAAATATGAGTATTAATATAAATTATTGTAAGTTTGTGTCCTAAGAAGTGCTCTGAATATATGTTCTGTAGTGAATGTAACTGGAACCAGGTTTGAGTGTTTATTTGTGACATCATGGTATGTTTGCCATTTTTTGAAACAGCAAGAGGTTTGTGTCTGGTCCTCCTGAACCTTATAAACAACAAGTGCAGTTGTTTTTTTTTTCCACTATAGTTGATTACATTTTCTTTATATAATTACATGTTTAATTTTTGAAATCCATAAATAATCGGATATAGCTTTTTGAAATAATCTCAGGTCTACACAAAAGTCTAAGTTATTAAATACTTTTTTAACTTCATGTGTTTATACTTTTAAGCTGTATCAAAATAAGAAACACAAAAGTTTAAACCTGATTATTGATAATCATTCAAAAATAAATTTATTTTTAAAAGTATATTATTTTTATTTATTAAGTATTATAAAAAAATTATATTAAAAATAAACTTAAAGTTTGGCTTTTTTATCAAAATAAAATAGGCAAAAAGAAATGATATATTATGAGAATAGGTGAAGTCGTGCACCCAAGAACGACTTCGATTACAATATAATCGATTACACAGTGTTGAAATTGTGACTCCTGCACAATTTCAGTGTTTTCAGTGTGGTAGACAAAAATGCTACTGATAATTGATTATAACACTTCTGTAATTGATTACTAGTGTTTTAGTGTTTTAAGTGTGGAAGAACCACCTTGGTAAACGATTACAAGCTTCTTGTAATCGATTACGAGTGTCCTTATACGAAAAAAGAAATTGTGGTTATTATTTAATGAAGGGAGACAAATTTGAAGAAAAGAGAAAAAAAATATTAATAAGAAATATTAATAGTAATATATTAATAGTCGATTTGATTACAATTGGGTAAGATTAAGAAATAACTAATGATGAAATGGACAATTTTTCCTGTGACCTTCGTTGCGGCAGTAAGAGCATTTTTTTTTGGCTTATCTGGATTGGATTGATCAATTTCATTATGAATCCTATTTGTAGATGGTCTTCTGGATTGCTTGCATCGCATTATAGGATTTGGTATGAAGTTTGGACCTATATACGCAGACCAATAATCTTGATTTGAATTTGGTGAAATTGTACTTCATATGTCTTGAAAATGTTGTTAAAACTGTACACTGGATCAATTACATTAAATAATAACCACAATTTCTTTTTTCGTATAACACAAACAATACATAAAATATGTAAACTGCAAAATAATTTTAAAAAACCAACCAAAACACACTGGTGATCGATTACAAGAAGCTTGTAATCGCTTATCAGGGTGGTTCTTGCACACTTAAAACACTGGTAATCGATTACAGAACGTAATCGATTACCATTAGCATTTTTGTCTACTACACTAAAATCGTGCAGGGGATCAAGATTTCAACACTGTGTAATCGATTATCAATATATTGTAATCGATTACAGGATCCAGAAGTCGTTTTTGGGTGCACAACTTCACCATTGGTCAAATGCACAGTTTGAAATCGTGCAGGGGGACACGACATTTTCATTTGAAGTCGTTTTGACCTCTCACAACTTTATATTTAATCAAAATTTACCCATTTATATAATATTCTAGGCAAATATGTCTAGTTTGGTGAAAAAGACCTAAAAGTTTAGCACATTAATTTATGCAGTATTTGTCAAATCTGACCAGAAAAAGACAAGTGACATATTTATTGCTATCCATCAAAACAAATATTTTATTTTATTCGTTGGAATTTGCTTTGCCAACTCCAAATTACGAAAGGGTGGCAAACACTCATGCCCACAATCTTAAATTCTACTCTTTTGATTTGTTTGTCTTAAAAGATAACATACAAAATTAAAATATGATCAATAACTTCTTTCTTGTAATTGCGAACGCATGTCTCTGCATTATCTAACAATATAAGTTAAAACTGAAAACAGAGGGAGAAAATCAAATAACCCATTTAACTTCAATTGTGATGTAGACGTTTTTTTCTTCTGATATCACTGCTCTCTCTAATTGGACTTTTATGAATACTTAATTACTTCTCATAGTTAGAACTCAATTACTTATGAATACTTAATTTAACTTGCTTTAGTTCATATAATTTTCTGTCATTCACTATTGATATATGCACTACTAATGGAAAAAGTTCATCAAAAAGCCGTATGTAATACCAGACAGCGAATTTATTGTACGGATAATTCCCGTTAGAACTCAATTTCTTTGTTAGTTCATATAAATACATTTTGAATATAACAATTTTATAGGTACGGGAATCATATAATTTAACATAGTTAAAATAACGCAGCTGAATAGTAACCGGTAATTTTTAATTAATTATCTCTGTCATTTATCTTTTCCAGAATTTATACGTCGATGATAGCATAGTATTCAGTTCATAAATTAATTAATTATAATAGATAATATATGTGTGTGTGTGTGTGTTACGTACGCTTAGTACGTAACCATAAAGTTTTCTTCATGGAGATAGAATATAAGAGTTTTAAGATTGTTAGACTTAAATTTATATGAATTTTATGAGATTTGTCATAGTAAGGTTTCTTGGATTTATTATGTTGATTGTTATTTATGATAAGGTTTATGGTTTGTCGTGTTGTTTGTTATTTATAGTAAGGTTTAATAGATTATTGAAATTTGCTTATAAGTGTATATTTTTTTATAAAAGAGGTGTTGGTTACGAAGGGCTATGTTTGAAGTATGACAGATTGTTATAGTAAGGTTTATTGAGTTTATCATAACATTTTTACTAAATTATCCATAAATATCTATAGATACTTGATATCTACAGTTAAATGATAATTCAATATTTGCTTATAAACGGTATGATATTATTAATATTCGTGAATATTCACTATTCGTAAAAAAAATAAATAAAATTTAATTTATATTTTATTATGTTAAAATTAATTAAAATTAAAATTAATTTGTATTCGATCAAGTTAAATTTAATTAGAATTAAATTTTATTTTATATTTTTTGGTAATTTTATTTTAAAAGTTTATAAAATATAATTTTTTAAATATTTGTGAGTATATGCGGATGTTGCAGTTTAAATATATTTTAAATGAAAAGTAAAATGTAATGAGACAACTATTCATGTTGATCCATTGTTTTTGTTCTAAAAATTTCTTCAATGTGACATCTTTTAACATTAAACATTATGTAATTGAAGATAAAATTAATGATTTTATGCAATTAATGTACTCAAATAATTAAACAGTTGTACGAGTTTATTTTTTCGTTCACATATTTAACATGAAAATATTGTTGTAAAATTTATTACAACACATCCCTCTATTTCAAGTTGAACATAGTGTCCTTAGCTTAATGGTATTGGTGTTTTCGTTTTGATTTCTATTTAATTTTGACTTATTTTCATGTTGGTCACACACACACACACACATATATATATATATATAATTATATATATATATTAAATCACAAAGTTTTTTAATATAATATATTCAAAGTAATCTTCATTTACTTTTTTATTTGATCTCTATAGCAAATTTCAACATCATTAATTGTTAATAATACAAATAGTTAGATATCAATCTCCGTTATATATACAAGCACATAGTTTTTATTATGATAAAAAAAAAGTTAACTAAATTAGTTAACTTTAGTTACTAATATTATAAATTCATAATTTAAAAAATATATAAAGTTACCATTTTAAACTATAACTATATTTAACAATGCTTCTTTATAATTTAAAATATGATATTTTTTACTGACAAGTATAACTTTAGTCAATAAGTAAAAGAAAAAAAATTACATTTAGTTATACAGGGAATGCGTGTGTTTTTTTAATAAACTTATAATAAATTAAGGTACACAAATAATAACTAGTTTACTTTTTTAAAGTAAAAAAATTATGTCTGTTAAAATTTATTTAGTATATACGTGGATTTTACTATTATAATATTATACGTAATTAAGCATCTTTTTGTATAGTGGTTCTCGAAACATGGGATTGATTACACCACTTGAGAATTATGTTTAATCAGAAATATTATTTTTAGGCTTACTATTTATTTTTAATTTTAATATTTGTAATACTTGTGTAATATATATTTTTTAATTATTTTGACCTATGATTTCAATATTTATTAAGAGGAGTCTATTGACACTTCTAAATGATGTTGACCATATAAAATGGTACATTTAAGTTTTTATAAGACAAAACGTTCATATCATTATAAAAACTCATCATTCTCTAACATTTTTAATGGATAATATGATTCCTATTTAATCATGGTTTTACGTGATTTAAATTTCACACATTTCTAAAGATCTAAGAAATTACTGAAATTATTTGTCACAAGTAATTCCAAAATAAGATTATAAATCATTAGTACTAAATTTCATAATTATTTTTAATGTATGATTAACATACCTAATACTTTCACGAAGAAGATCCTGGAAGAGAAATATTGACGAGACGACAAATAATATAATTTTTATTATGATCACCCAAATTATGAGAAGAAACATTAATTCTGATTAATCATATTAAATTATTAAATTCCATATTTTGTGTAGATTTTGTTTTCAGTTATTTTTGCGAGTTATTTAAGTGTAGGTACTGAAGTTTTCTTGAAAACTTCACTTAGAAGTAGTGACCAATATTGTTATTGACATAATTGAATTTTATAAAAATCCACTTCCATTAATATGTAAAGCGTGATGAGTATCACGTTGTTTAGTGAAGTTTATTTAATATGGTTGAATTTAAGACTTGTTAAGCACTATAGTCTAAGCTAGTAATAATTTAATGATACACATAATGATAAACAGGCAGTTTGGTTTTCAATGTCGGTAAGGAAAAAGAAAGGGTCCAGACCCGAGTTCCATCGGATCCTTGTGTTTTCCGGGTATCCGGATCCAGTGAGACGCTCCAGATCCAACACAAATTCAAAAAGTTAATTTCGCTCTCTATTATCTTTATTCTTTCTTCCTTTCTCTGTCAACTCAACTCTTCTCTCTAATAATTCAAATCCCTATCCCTCCAACGGCTCTTTCCAAACCCCATCATCTTTCTTCTTACCTTTCCCCATTTCGTTCGCTTTCTGTGTTCTTCTCCTCTCTGCCCCAAAATGAAGCACTTCATGCTCCCAAGAAACCCTCTCAGGGACGCAGAACTCGCTTCTGCGGCCACCACAGCCGCCTCTCCTAGCTCCGCCAAAACCCGCCCCTCTCGCAAGCACAAACACTCCAAAGAGAATGACCCTCCCTCCGATCCCAACTCTCGCCGTCCCCCCCCGCTACGTCAAGGTCCCTTGCTCCAGAGACCCCCCGTCTTCCAACACCCTTCAACGAAAGCTCGCCACGGCCTTGCCGTATTCCCTACCGCAATTCCACTCCCATCCTCCGATTTCCGGCGTCAAGGTTGTTTACGCCTATTACTCTTTCGACTTCTATAGTTTCTAATGTCTTCTATCCTAATTGACTTCCCTTTCTCGCTTCTTGCCATTTTTGCAGGTTATTGTGAGGATAGGCCTCTCTGTTTTTTCCCGACAAGGACGAAGGAGATCCCACCGTTCAGAAGGTTCCAATGATTCATTGTCCATCAATGGCCACAACTTCACTTCGGATTCGTTGCTGCACACTGCGGGGGGCTATCAGGCAGGGTTTCATTTTTAGTCATGCCAGTAACGTTCTTATCATCTGTTTGAAAGAGATGTCCCTAACGCGATTTTTCGCCACAAGGACTTGGTCAACTTAATTTAAACCGTGGTTATCTTCTTAGAATTATTGATTTCGGTGGTTTGAGCGCTGTGGGTGGGATCTGGTTTTTCAGCTGGATATTCTTGAACATGTGGTGCGACAACTGGTGGAGCATGTTGGTGGTTTCAATTGTTCGGTTTTTGTTATGAGACAGGTTTTCTTCTTCCCGTTGACTTTTAATTTAACTTTTAGTTTTGTCGGTTGCTGCCGCTACTGTGCTTGTTGGTTTGATGAGTTGTGTTTTTGATCTTGATAGACGGGGAGTGGAAGAAAAAGACTTATACGATTGTGGGGGTCCGCTAAGTTGTTGGACAGAAAAACGATCAGCAAAGGATTGCACCCCTGTTGTTCAGCAACTATTTGCACGCAATACAATGAAGTAAACATTCCATTTTGGTTTCTTGTAAAATATGAAGTGTTTGCACCATTTCGTGCGTTTATAACTGTTGCATTTCTTGCACCAGAGCAAGCTAGCATTCTGACAAGCAACTCAACATATAGTGCAAACTGTTCTTTTCTTGAGTGATTAACTTAAATTGCTTCTTCCCTGTTGGAGCCTGTTTAACTTCTCAGTAAGTCCATTGACACAAAAGGTTTTTTTTTGCAGATATACTAATGGAGCAAATCATGGATCTATTGGATCCAAGTCTGAAAAACCTACAGGTAAATTCTAAAACACCATTTGTGTTAATTGCTTTTCTCGTGTTTAGCAATTTTGTGCTGGAACTGATATTTTGTTTTTTGTCCAGATTCGAGAAGATGTTCAAAATCTGTGGTCTATGTTGAAAATCTTTACAGAGGAGCCCGTGTCTTCAATTAAGGATGTAACTCAGCTTTTAATAAAGGTATTTGTCACAATTACCACCGGTGTTGTATTAAGACATATGTTCTCTTTATTTTATGACTCAGTTTTGAGCATTGTCTTAAGGGGCAATATCATTAACCTCAGTAACTAGTTATAGCCTGGTGTTGTACAACAGCTATTTTTTATGCTTTCAAACATGATGCTCAATGGAAAGCAGTGAAGTTGCTAGAAGAAAATGGAGAGATTTTATGTCATGCATTGCTATGATTTTAATTAAATAATAAACTTTTGGTTTCACTTGTGTAAAGTTTTCTGGAAGAGTCAAGAACTCATTAAAGAACATTTGTGTAGAAACTCTGCTTCAAACGCTTATTATTGTTTTGCTTCAATTAAACAAATTTAATACAATGTAGGTCTTATGGCTGTAGAGAATGCCACAACATCCCCTTCCATGTAACGTGTTTTACTGATATCTGCCTTTCATATTGCAGGGTAATTCTCATATTAAAGTGTGAAAGAGATTTAATAAAATAAAGAAGACACGTAGAATATAAACATTGGAGGAAAGAGTGGATTATATAAAAAAGTTTAAAATAGAGAAAACAGTTTGGGAAGAAGCTATATATTTTAATATATAGGAAAGAGATTATGTCAATATTCTCACAAGAAATAAAGATTTTCTGAGTAATTAGGGTGAAGGAATAAGATTAGCGTAATAATATAATATATTTGAGAGCAGAAGCTTTGAAAGATATATTTGAACCTAGAAAAGATTTCTATATCAGAGATAAAAAAAAAAGGTTAATTAAGATAATTAAAGAGTCATTGGCAGCATGAAATCTGTTATTTTTGAAAATATTGAATACTCACTTAATTGCTGCATCTCTTTGTGAGAGATTATATCTTTGCAGGCTTTCTCTCTCCTGTGTTCTTTCTCCCCTCTTCTCAGTTAAGATGATTATTTTATCTTCCTTTTATCTCTGTGAATCTTCGGAATAATCCAACAAACACTCTAAGTTTCTGTTCTTCGGATTTGTTCCACAATTTTCTACCTTCTCACCCTTCAATTCTCATCTCTCTTGAATCACTCTAAAGGTAAAAAGGTTTCTTTGGTGCATGATTGTGGCATTTTTATTTTTCCTTCTTTGATTTTTGGTTTCAGATTGTTCTTTCTTCTTAACCCTAGCTCATTCTTTGGTTTTCTGTGTTTCTAAGATGGATCGCAGAGATAATGGTAAACAAGCAGTTTCTGATCACGTTTTGGTTTTGGATTCTTGCACGAAAGAGAAGATGAAGAGATCCGTTTTGGGTTCTTGCAAAGCTGAAGTTGAATCAGTGGCGGATGAGGAAAACCCTTCCCCAAAACTGAGTCAGTGTGATATCTGCCTCAAGATTTTTGGCTGCGGCAAGGCTTTAGGTGGTCACAGAAGATCCCACTTTATGAAACAGCAGCAACAAAAGAAGGTAAAGACCCGTTTCACTGATAATCACACATCAAAACCTTCTGGCGATAATAACATTAGGGTTATCTGTGATTTTGACGATGATGATGGCAAACACATTTGTTGTATTTGCAAGAAGGAATTTCCCACCAAGAATGCTTTGTTTGGTCACATGCGGTCTCATCCTGAGAGACCATGGAGGGGTGTGTCCCCTCCTACTCAAAAGAACTCATCTTCTCCTTCTTCTTCTTACTACTATTCTCCTTCTTCTTCCTTCAATTCTGATTCAATGGAGAAGAACAAGGACGATCATGATGTTGATGATGGTGGCGACCGACTGATCTCACCTTATGAACATCGCAGAAATGAGATTGATCTTTTAATGTGTACTTCACCCAGCTGGCTTTGTAAAGATACAAGAGGCAGAAGCTCTATCGGTGCGTATCAGGCTGCTGAAACTCTTTTCTACATGAGTTGTTCTAAGTATTTTTCTAGTCACGACTGGAATAGGGTTTTCCCCAAGAAGGATGAAGTGCCGCCAAAGAGTGCCCCAACCCTAATCAAGCAGCGCAAAAGGAAGACTTTTGAATCGTCACCCAGTAAGAAAGATAAGGTGAAGAAGATAAAGTTTTTATTTAAAGGTGAATTGAATTGGGGAAGCACGTCTAATGGGGTTGGGGAATGTGATGGTGAGGGTAATAGGCTGAACAGGTGCAAGGGTTTATCTGAATCTGGGGTTGAGCATAACCATGATGAGAAGAAGATGAAGAGTTTTGATGATTTGAATGGTGAATCTGTTACCCCAACTATGCAAGATCATGTTGGTCCTTCTGATGTGAAGAAGATTAATATGGATAAGAAAGGGAAGAACGGTAAGAAATTGGTACTGAATTCAAGGACAAAAGACTCGGAATCTGAGAAAGCAGCAAGTCAAGAGAAAGCAGATTGGTATAAATGTGCTGCATGTGGAAAAAGCTTCAAAACTTTCCAAGGCCTAGGAGGACACAGATCAGTGCACAAAGAGAAGAATACTGTGAGCATTGATGAGCCAAACCCCTCGGAAGCTGTAGCTGAACAAAACAACTCTAGCAGCTCCAGTAACATGAACAAGATGGAGGACCCATTATTTAATGAAACAACCTTAGCCGACCAGCCATGCCAATCTTCAGGTGTCAAGAAACTGAACTTCGATCTGAATGAGCTGCCTTGTGCCAATGATGAGGACTGAACATTCTGTATAGTTCTCCACTTTGCTGCATCTACATGGTTTTTTCTTATCAATCTTGCAATCTTAATCTTATATATTATTCTATTAAGTTTGAGTAGAACTTTGTATTTAGGATTTCTATGATACAAAATTGAGGAGTTCTTTGTACGGTTACTGATGACCCTAAACTCTTCTCTCGTTACTAGAAAGTAGTAGCAGAACTCTTAAATTTTGTACCTTAGTAACTGTTCATTACTATGCTGGATTAAACTTCTTAATCAGTTTATGTTATACATGCTTTTTGTCATTTTCTGATATTCTGTACTTTTCACAGCATTCCATTTTTTAGATTTTCAATTTCTATCTATTATTCATGTGTTTGGAAATTACTTGATAAACTTTAATTCATTGCTTTCTAATAATTTTTGACAGTATTCCATAGGTTAACTCATCAAATTGAAAACTAATGCCACTTGCTTTTATGTCTTTGAAATGGATTTTGCAGTGAGATAGAAACCGTTTTTAAATTTGAGATTTAATTGACTTTTGGAATTTATAACAATATATAGAATGAAATTTCTTCAAGTTTTGTAATTTAATGTTTATATTCTAAAATAATTAATTTGCAAATTTTAAGTCTTTAATTTTGATGCTAATTAAATGGTTCTACTGGATGGAGAAACTAGAAGTAATTTGACGAATTATGCTTGGATAACTGAGACTCCTGAGTCTTTTTTTTTAGTTATCAATATTCTACTTCTACTTTTTACATTACCAAAATATTATAAATGAAACGTTATATTATAGGGTATATAAAAATTTATGTTTGAATAACTATTATTATTATTTTTAAATAATTTTTATATTCTAATATAGTTAAAAAAAAATTAACTTCTGTATGAATATAAATCTTTCACCTTCTCATCATAAGAATAAAAACTGTAAAGACAAATTCCTATTTTCAAATTTCTTTTAGAAAGGTTAAGTAAAACCACTTGTGTCTACAAGAATTAGTTTAAAAAATAGTCCAGTGGGATTTCTTACTGAATAAATCTTACAGGAATATTTCCTATAATTCAAACGTAGTCTAATCCAGTTTGTCAAAATATATAATATTTTATAATTGATATATTTAGAGCAATCAAGGGGAATCAATAAATTATATTGTATTCTTCATGTTTTTAATTTATACAGTATTTAATTTTGAACAGTCAAGGAAATCATGCTATTTTTGTTTAGTGTGGATTTTTGGTTGAATCATATTAACATACCAAGTTATAAATAAATCAAAGAAATTAATTTACCTTAACTTATAGATAATTTGCTATTTGAACAGGACCAGTTTTTTGGTTTCACAATGACAGAATAAGAAAACCTTAATGAGGGTGCATTTTGCGTGGTTCACTTAAGCTGACCAAAATAACTGAATTGAACTGAAACTTGTAATAGCTAAATTAATCTGAATTTAAACAAACTAAACAACTTCTTAATTAATATTAATTTTATAACTGAATTATTTTAGAGAAAATAAAAGTAATTGTATTAATAATTTTTAGGTTTCCTAGCTTAGCTTGTTTCTATTGCTACTAATCTATGTATCTACTGAACAATTAAAAGTTCTGCAGCAAAGTGAGATTTTTTTTATTGATCACTTTTGAACTCTATGAATGTGAGTAGATAGTCAGGAAATATTTTTTCCAGACTAGACCCTTTTGTTCAAGTATAGTTTCTTTTTGTGAAATACTAAACTTTCATCATGTTTTTTTAGGTTGTTTGCTTCTAGAATTTTGTTTTTTTAAAACGAATTCTTAGCAACATTTTTTTTATAATTTTTTAGATTTGTATATTTATTTATAATGAATTACTTTATTAAAATTTGATAATTTTTTATAAACTCATGTGAATATAAATTTAAAAAATATATTTAATTTAATATTTATAAATTAATTAGGAATAAAAGTTTTGAAGAATGATTATAATAAATAAGATAATTTAAACATATTGTAATTATGATAATAAGAAAAATTACCATAATAAAATATTGTAATTGTAAAACCTAAAAAATGATATTTTAGAAGTGGTAGTGATTTAAAAATAATGAGACTTGATTATTTTAATATTAAATAATTTTAATATAAATAGTTTTGTTATGAACGATTTTCATTATTTTTTAAAACATATTATCTCTATATAAACCACTTTTCTAGAGTACTTTGACTTTGTTTTTCATCTGATTGGATAACTAAGACTTATCTTGGCGGCAAACTCTTCAATTTGGATCGATAAGTTTATCATATAGAGTCAGTTAGTTTTCTGCTCCTCTTTTTAGTCTAGTTGTATTCCTTGACATGCGAGTCTATTGGGGATGCATGTAACGATTGAGTCTTCTATAAGACTTTTTACTGATCAGTGATTCTAATAGTATACATTGAACGTGTTTATGTTGTTCATAGGATTTGTTAGGACTTCATGTGTATTTAGAGTTGATTTAAGTTTTCTAGAGCGGTTTGATAATCTTTCAGGTAAGAGAAGCTAAGATACCATTTATTTTCAAGTTTTAATGTGATTAGAAATGTGCGTGCATGTTTGATGGTTTGTGAGTGGCTTATATTACTGGTTTTGATTGATGGAATCATTGTTGAAATCTATTTTTAGTTTTATGACGGGTGTTGTTTGTCATGTTTGATTTGGTTTATAATTGGTAGTTTGTTATAGGGATTATATGTTAGGACAACTGGTTAAATTTTTCATGTGTTTCTTGTTCGAAACTAAATGAAATTGAAGTTTTTGTTAGTTAAAAATAGTGCTAAAATATTGATTGAGAAATATGATTATGTGAAGTTGGAAATTTACCCAGAATTGGTGTTATAACATGTGATTTTCGATGGTGGCTTCCTGTTGAATCAACTTGAGATGTTAGTGGTTTGAGTTTATAATTTATAACTATAATAGCTTTATGTATATATTTTTTTGGAGTTATTTTTTATCTCAGTCCCTTGTATATGATGTCTCTTTTAGTAGTTATATACTATTAAAATAGGATGTTACAGTAATTATTATTATT